GGGGGGGGGGGACTCGGGCTGGCCCTGCTTGCTCATCTGTAAAATGGGGTTTGAGAACTCCCTGTCGGGGCTGGTGAAGGGATTTCACGGGAGCACTGGGTGTGGAGCTCAGCAAAGTGACCAGCAAGTAATAGGTGTTCCAAGTAAGTGTCCAGAAAGTCTGGAACCAGAAAGATGCGCAGATCTAGTCGGGGAATATTTGTTGAATTAATTATCCCATTTTATAGAGCAAGAAAGTGAATTCCAGACAGATGAAGGGATTCGCCCCTGACCCTGCATCTAGCGGGTGGTGAAAGTAGATGAGAACTTTTGCCAAACCCAGGCGGAAGAGGTGAGAGTGGAGCTGCAGCACAGGTTTCTTGTGCACCTATTACTGCCAGGGTCTGCACTGCCCACCGACATCTAGCATCATTGTATCCTCATAGCTTCCCATGGAAAGTATGATATTTTCCAGTTTGTAGATGAGAAAACTGAAGCTCAGAGCAGGGAATGGATCTGCTCAAGGTCAAGAGCTAGTAAGTGGCAGACTCAGAATCTGGACTCAGGTTTGACCTGAGGGAAGGACAAGGGATTAATGTTCATTGAGCACCCACTGTGTTCCAGGGGCTTTGCACACATCCTCTGGTAACAGTTCATCCAAAGGGCCATTATCCCCATTCTAGAAATAAGAGAGCAAGCCCAGAGACTGGCCTGAGATTGCACAAGTGCCAGAGGTCAGGGGGGGATCCCAACCCCCTAACACCAAACCCAGGAGGAGTGAGGACACGCAGGCTTTGATGCATACTCAACCCCCAGGAAGCCAGCGTGTTTGAACCCACCATGCAAATGAGATAACCAGGGTCAGGAGGTGAGTCCCAGCCTTCAACTCCATCAGAGGCAGGAGTCAGTGGGCAGTGAAGGACCTGCCACTTCCTGAGTATCAACTAAGCCAAACGCTATAATCTACCTTAACCCTTCAGCCATCCTTGGGGGGTAGGCATTGCCCATGAAACTGAGACCTGGAGAAGAAACATCTTATTCAAGGCCCCAGGTGCATCAAGGATGGTTTTGCCTGACTCCAGAAGAGAGTCAGAGGCAGATAATTTAATAAACCTCAAAAAAGACATTAAGTCAAGGTAATCATTTTAACCACACTTCCAGGTGGATATTTTTTATCTCTATTTGATGAAGGATCAGAAAGGTGATGTAACTTGCCTAAGGTCCCACAAGCGCACCAAGGTTCAATGCTGTCTGCCTTACGTGGTCTAATTGGAGATCTCAAATTTAACCCTGTGTTGGAATCACTCCCCGGGGTTTTTAAGAACTCAGACTGCTGACCCCCTACCCCAGAGTTTCTGATTCAGCAAATCCAGGGTAGGCTGAGAATCTGCATCCCAGGTGACGCTGATGCTGCAAATCCAGGGAACACTTTGAGAATCCCTGGTCTAAACTGATTTTCCTAACAATCCTAGGTGGCAAGCATTACTACTCCTATTTGCGGAGAAGAAAACCGAGGTTCAGAGTGCTGGCACATCCAGGATCACACTATAGACCTCTGGTTAGTCCTGGGAAAGAAGACATCCTACGTGAGCGTTCGGCGCATGCCAGACATAATCCTTCAAGATAGAGCTCCCATTTATTTTCCATAGGAGAAAATGAAATGGGAATGGGGAGGGTCCGTGATCTGTCCAAAGTCCTGCAGCCAGGAGGGTGTGGGATATTCAAACTCGGGCCTGACTTGCGTCCAGAGGACATCTGACGTCTACTGATCTCTCACTGCATACCAGGTTCAACCGGGCCTCCACACCCCGCCTGGTGGAGGGAGCAGGGGATTTTAACCCAGTCTTCCTGGAAAGGAGGCCCTGGGATCTCTCAGTGCGCCCTCTGTGTCTGCAGGGCGACCCGCTGTAGCCATGGTGAGCGAGTCCTTGGGGCCTGGCACTGGGGTTCCCTGGCGGAGAAGCGACGAGGCTCTGCGCGTGAACGTGGGCGGCGTGCGGCGGCTGTTGAGCGCGCGCGCCCTGGCGCGCTTCCCGGGCACGCGGCTGGGTCGCCTGCAGGCCGCAGCGTCGGAGGAGCAGGCGAGGCGCCTGTGCGACGACTACGACGCGGCGGCGCGCGAGTTCTACTTCGACCGGCACCCGGGCTTCTTCCTGGGCCTGCTGCACTTCTACCGCACCGGCCGCCTGCACGTGCTCGACGAGCTGTGCGTCTTTGCCTTCGGCCAGGAGGCCGACTACTGGGGCCTGGGCGAGAGCGCGCTGGCCACGTGCTGCCGCGCGCGCTACCTGGAGCGGCGCGTGACGCGGCCGCGCGCCTGGGATGAGGACAGCGACACGCCGAGCAGTGTGGACCCGTGCCCCGACGAGATCTCGGACGTGCAGCGCGAGCTGGCGCGCTATGGCGCGGCGCGCTGCGGTCGCCTGCGCCGCCGCCTCTGGCTCACCATGGAGAACCCGGGCTACTCGCTGCCCAGCAAGCTTTTCAGCTGCGTCTCCATCGGCGTGGTGCTGGCCTCCATCGCCGCCATGTGCATCCACAGCCTGCCGGAGTACCAGGCCCGCGAGGCGGCGGCCGCCGTGGCTGCGGTGGCTGCTGGCCGCAGCACGGAAGAAGTGCGCGACGACCCGGTGTTGCGACGCCTGGAGTACTTCTGCATCGCCTGGTTCAGCTTCGAGGTATCGTCACGCCTTCTTCTGGCGCCCAGCACGCGCAACTTCTTCTGCCACCCGCTCAACCTCATAGACATCGTGTCGGTGCTGCCCTTCTATCTCACGCTGCTGGCTGGCGCAGCGCTCGGTGGCCGGGGCGGCGGGAGCGGCGAGGAGCTAGGCGACCTGGGCAAGGTGGTGCAGGTTTTCCGCCTCATGCGCATCTTCCGGGTACTGAAATTGGCACGCCACTCCACTGGACTGCGCTCCCTGGGCGCCACGCTCAAGGTAGGCCAGGTTGGGGAAGGGGCAGGTGAGTGTGGGTGAGGGTCAGGTTAACAGGTGAATTTGTAAAACTGCCATGTCCAGGCGCATCCTGAACCGAGATGCCATCCTTTGGGTCAGGCACAGGGCTAGACGCCAAGTGTATGGCTCAATCTAGTCTGACCTTCCCAATGACCCTGAAAGAAAGGGCTTACTGTTATCTTCATACCCGAGGAGAAAACCGAGGTATGTTTTTGCTTTTTACAAACTGGTCACTTTTGATATATCTGCTAAATATCAAATAATACATAGCACAAAAATATGTAAAGCAGGATGCTTTCTGGGTTCTGGTTAGAGCCTTTCTCTTGGCATTATCAGAAGGCACAGAGTCACAGGCCACCCTTAGTAGGAAAGTGTAGGAATAGCCCAGGAGCTAAAACAAGCACAGACTCGGCATTCAGTGCCAATTTCACATGCATTACTGGTTCAGTACTTCGTATGGCTTCCTCAGGAAGTTGCTGTCCTTTAGTGTTATTGTTTTTCTTAAATGAAGATGCAAGAATGAAGGGTGGCTTTTTTAAGCCTGGTTGCATTTTATTGAGCCCCATCTTCATGCACTGGGGATGAAATTAGTCTTGCTGGGAGAGGGAGGCAATGTGAACAGCTTGCACAAGGCTTGGTGAGAGAACAGGGTGCATGCTGGGAGAGGGGACCCAGGGAACAGGGAGCCAAGAAATGAGGTTGATGAGGTAAGCGGGTTTTGAAAAGCATGTCTCTTGGCCCACAATTTTCTACTTTATCTCCAAGGGAGCCTGTGAAGGGTTTAAGCAGGGGCAAGTGCTGTCTGTTTTGTGCAGATGTGGAAACTGAGTCTCTAGGAGGTGACAGGACTTGTCAGGAATTCTTCAGTAAGTGGCAGAGCCCAGAGAATAACCCAACCGTGCCCAACTTCCACATGCTCAATCCTAAAGCACCCTCCACCCTTGGCTTAGGGAAGCCTCTTGCATGCTCTCCTGGCAGAGCAGCCAGGATACTGGGTGCTGGCAGGTGACCTGGGCAGAATCTGCTCAGGTGCAGAGAATTATGTTAGCCAGACCCCCTGAGTTCAGCATCTGTTTTGGGAAGATTCTGCCCCTGGGCCCTGCGCTGCCTCCACCATGCCAAGAATCAGGGCTTGAAGCTACTCACTGAAGGGTAATGATCTGGCTGTTAGGGTCAAGACCCAGGTGTAGGATGTTCCAGATGGAGCTTTACTGCTCCAGGTGAGGCCCAGGCCAGCAACAGCTTTCTCAACACCTGGGAGCTTGCTGGAAAGGCAGACCTGCTAAATTGGGTTCTGCCTTTTAAACTACGACCCTGAAGGTTCCTCCTCATATTTCAGTTTGAGAAACCTGCTCTAGACTCGGGGCTGGCACTGCTGATGTTTGATTTTAGTTCTTTGTGTTATGAGGGTCTGTCTTGTGCACTGTATGGGGTTAAGCCCTGGCCTCTACCCATTTGAGGCCAATGGCACATCTGACCCATTGTGACAACCAAAATATGTCTCCAGACATTGCCAGATGTCCCTTATGGGACAAAATCACCCTGTTTAAGAACCAGTGCCGTAGGGCACCCATGGGTGCTCTAGGGAACTCATCCTCTCAACTTCCTTGAGGGGCAGGAGTGTTTTTGTATGTCAGAAACGTGTACTTTGAATCAGAAGTTCATGAAACCAGCTCTGCCTTGTGAGGCAGAAACTGTGGTTTTGTTGGTTCGACAGCCAGGTAGAAATCACAGCGTTTTTGTCACTGGTCCTTGCCCCCGGAGATCCCTGAGTTAGAAACAGCTTGGCCTCGTGGGCGCCATGGACAGCCTTTGGGCCTGTGTTCCGTCCTGGGGAGCTTCGTGCTTGCTGTAGTTGGAAGATGTGGTTTGCTCTGTGACTTTGGACCTGCCCCTTCCACTCCTTGGGTCCTAGTTTCCCCATCTGCCCGATCCCGGGTCTGAGAGCCCGTCTGGCTGACCCCGCTTCCTGCCTTTTCTTGCAGCACAGCTACCGCGAGGTGGGCATCTTGCTGCTGTACCTGGCCGTGGGGGTGTCTGTGTTCTCCGGCGTGGCCTACACAGCTGAGGAGGAGAACGTGGGCTTTGACACCATCCCCGCCTGCTGGTGGTGGGGCACAGTGAGCATGACCACTGTGGGCTACGGGGACGTGGTGCCTGTGACAGTGGCTGGCAAGCTGGCAGCCTCCGGCTGCATCCTCGGTGGCATCCTGGTGGTGGCGCTCCCTATCACCATCATCTTCAACAAGTTCTCCCACTTCTACCGGCGCCAGAAGGCTCTGGAGGCGGCCGTCCGCAACAGCGGCCACCAAGAGTTTGAGGACTTGCTGAGCAGCGTTGACGGGGTGTCAGAGGCATCGCTGGAGACATCCCGAGAGACCTCTCAGGAGGGACGGTCCACAGACCTGGAGATGCAGGCCCCCCGTGCACCTCCAAACTCTCAGAGTTATTAAAACCAGGATCCGCGTCCCCGGTGCACCCCCAAGTCAGCTGAAACAGAGCGGATTGTTCCCTGTGCAAGCTCTTCATGAGAGGGAGCCTCTTGGGACCCTTGGCCTGAGAAATGAAACCTGGGCTGCATATCTCCCTCCAAAGGCCCAGGCCAGCACAGTGCCACCTAGATGCTGTGCGCCCACAGAGCCACTTGGACACCCTGATTAACCAGCCTCCCCAGCCAGGAAGCAGGCATGAGCCAGAGGATGAAGTGGAAGGATGGGGACGTTCTGAGCACCTCTCCTGCGCTGGCCCAGTTTGTCCCTGTGCTGCGAGATGAGAACTGCCTCACTTCACAGATTAGGAGGCTGAGGTCTGGGGGGGAGTGTCTCACCCAAATGTGGAGTCAGGTGTGAAGTCTGTGTTTGTGGTCGGCCCCCACAAACGTTTCATCCACCCCACTCCTCTGCTCTCACCAGGTTTGATGTGATTTTAGGGGGTCTGGGGTTCCCCAGAGTTCATGCATAGGGTGAGAATGCTCTGTCAGGGAGGGAAAGGAACAGATGGGATTCGGAGGTAGGAGACCTGGACCTCAGCTGTGGTTCTTTCCTGGGAGCTGAAGGGACGCAGCTCTTGAATGAGTCCTGGGGGAAGGGAACTGCCTCCTAAGCCCAGGTGCAGGATTTGCTGGGCAGTACCCTCCCGCCATTCTTCCCAGGGCAGACTTGAGAGCAGATCTGAAGCGGCCCTGGCCTGAGGCCTGAGGCCTAGACTGAGACCCAGCTGTGGACCTACTGTGAGCCAGCTCCTGGTCCTGGCTCGTGACCCAGGGGGAGATGAAAGCCAAGTGGAGCAGAGGAGGCACAGACTTAAAGCCAGCTTAGCTCTGAAATGTCAGAGGCAGGGCTTCCGTGCATGTCCCCATACTGACTACGGCTGTCCCCTTCTACCCACCACACACACATCCAGCCCTCCTTGAGAAGCCAAGGTAAAAACTTGAGACTCCTGTCTGTCCCAGGGCTAGCTCTGGCCTGTCCTCCTTTGCTGGGGGTAAATCTTTCATACTCCCTTGCCTACTCCTCTCTCCACTTGTGGAGAGAGCTGGGAAGTGTTCTCATGGCCCTTTCCACGGACACTGGCTAGAGCGCCATCACTGTACCATCATGGCCACTCTGAGCCTCAGGATGGAAGGTATCGTTTGGCTGAACCCAGGCTTGGGCCAGAGGAGGTACTTGGTACATGTTGACCAGATTGACCGATTCCTATAGCCTTTGGATGCCAAGCATTGAGCTGGGAGAAGAAATAGCCAGACAGGGAGAGATTCTGGATGCTCTTGAAAGAGTGTGTGAACAAGACCAAAAAGGAGGCCATTCAACTCTGCTTCCCCTGGCCCTCCTTGATTTTTTTGAGGTTTTAATTTTTATTTATTATTTTGTGGTACTGGGGATTGAATCTAGAGTGTCACACATGCTAGGCAATGCCCTAGCACTGAGCAATGTCCCTAGTCCTTCTTTTTAAAGAAAGGGTCTTACTAAATGCCTGAGGATGGCCTATAACTTGTGATCCTTCCGTGTAGCCTCCTGAGTAGCTGGGATTACAACATGTGCATCATGCCTGGCAGTTTTTGAGAATTTTCTTTTTTTTTTTTAGAATGACCTCCTTGTAGGTTCTTCACTCCCTCATTCAACAGATCTTTATAGGAAGAGTCATGAGCTGGGGGCTTTCCATGTGGCATATGGACATATTTTGTTCAGCTGAGCATTAATTTTAGCATATTGTAAAAATTTAAATGCCTCTGGGTGAGGCATGCACTCTTCAGTTCCCCATAGCATCTCCCCACCACCGTGGTCCCATGTATGGACACACATTACCACGAGTGTGTCACACCCAGAGTAGCTGATTTACTCTACCCACCTGGCCACTAATTTATTGAGTGCAGTTCAAGTGAGAGAATGATGGACAGAATAGATGTCTCTGTACTCAGGAAGCTATGTGTGCTAGTGGGGGAGACAGACTAATGCAGCAATCACAAACAGACATGGTAGTAGCTCTAAACCTGCAGGGAATTTCAAGCGTAGGTAAAGCACAGGGGGCGTTACCTGAGATCAGCGAAGGCCTTCCCTAGCAGCGATGATCTAGCTGTGATCCAGCCCTCATGATGGTGAATAGCTGGGTTCTGGGGAGGAGTACTCCAAGCCTTGGCGGGGCAGTGTGAGAGCTTGTGTGTCTTACACAGGGCTTGGTACATAGCAGGCCCCCGGGACACAGACCCTGGGTCTCCAGATTGGACTAGCGCAGGAGCTAGGCTAAAGGGCCTCTTGGGAACTCCCCATATAGGAGCCCCCCTGCACACGTGCCTCAGTGTCTGGGCCCAGCCATGCTCAGGTTGGGGGATAGAGGTTGGGAAGCTGCATGAACTGCTCCTTACGGTCTTGCCTAAGACCCCAAGAATCTGACGGCTTCCAGATTTTCTTACCCCACAAACCAGTCCCTGAAGTTGGTGCGGGGATACCTCAGGGACGAAGATTGTGAGATCCTGACACGAGCGCAGCAGCAGTGAGCCACTCTGTGTGTCTGTGAAAACCATTATGCAAATAAAGAGCTGTGCCCAGGGACCCGTTTCTGCTGGCTCTCTGGTGTCCTCTGAGTGACTGGGGAGGGTGGGCAATATGTAGAGTGACTTGGAATCCACATTCCCTGGTTCCTGCCTTGGATTTGGCAGAGGCCTTGGCTGGAGTTCAGTCAGCCAGAACAGGTTGCAAGTGTCAGGAACTCGGCAGGAATGAACTTGGGCGAAAAGGGCAATCCATTAGAGTAAATTACTACACTGATCTAACTTGAGTTCTTTGGTTTCAAGCAGCTAAAACAGACTAAGAAAAAATGAATCTATTGGAAAGTGCATTAGTTTCCAGTGGCTGCCACAGCAAATTACCACAAACTCAACTGCTTAAAACAGCAGAATTTTATTCTCTTACAGTCCTGGAGGCCAGGAATCCAAAATCAGGGTGTTGGTGGGGCCACACTCCCTCCGGGGCTCCAGAGGTGAACCCCCTTCTTGCCTCTTCTGGCTTTTGGTGGTGGCTCCAGTCTCTGCCTCTGGCCTCACGTCACCTCACCCTCTAAGTGGGTTTAATCTCCCAGTGCCTCACTCCTCTAAGGACATCTGTTAGGGTCCACTGGGATAATCCAAAATGACTTCATCTCAAGGCCCTTAATTTCACCACTCTTGCCAAAAAGACCCTTTCACAAATAAAGAATCATTCACAGCTTCCAGAGATTTGGATGGGGACACGTTTGGGGTCACCTGTCAGCCCTCTACAGAGCACCGTCTGATAAGGCCTTGGGAAACAGAACAATGAGGGGAGCTCTGGGGACCTCAGTAACAGGCCTGGGGACCTGCTAAGATGGATACTGCCACCCAGACGTCCACCTCCAATCCCCTCCTTCCCTGAGTCACACTGCTCACAATCTAGTCCCAGGAGAGGGGGAGGCCCAGCCTGGTGCCAAGCTTTTCCTTGGAAGGGACGGAGGGCAGAGTACTGGGTTTACAAGGAGCAAAGGCAGTCACCCCCCAAGAAAGGCTATGCGCCATCACCTGGATAAAATAGAGGGCTGCTGATAGGCCAGAGTGGGAGGCATCCCCTAAATCCTACCCCTGGGCTGCCCAACACCCCACTCACACCTTCCACCCATGCACCCCATTTTACACTTGCTCTAACATAAGGAAATTCTCTTGCATATGCCCGGAAACACACTGATCCTCTCCCTAAAGGGGACGCTCCACGGTCGTATCCTGTTAATGATTCTAGTCCAGAGTTCATCCTTCTGCAGTATTCTGTGACATAAGGAATAAATGGCAAGTGTACAGGCCACCGGCAGACTCTGGATGTGAGGCTGGCGGGAAGGGAAGAGACTGTGAGGAGGAAGACACCGTTGCTTCGTCCTCATTCCGTGATGGTCATGAGCCTAAAACTGGCATTTATAGTATCCCTCTGTGCTGGCAGAGCCCTTCCTCAAGATGGCCTTCAAGCTAAGGGCTCCAGGTCCATAAGCCCCTCAAGGCTGGTGTTAGGGGATGATCTATCACTCAAGGAGGCTCAAGTCTTGCCAGAGCTGGAGAGTGGGGGTTTGTCTTGCTTTGTTGTTTTATTTCTGCTGTTTTGTTGATTGTACAAATTAAGTAAGGCTTTAACTGGCTGCCTGTGGTTTCACCTTCCAGGGCCATGGGACACTGCGAGTTCTTGTCTCATTCAGAGACTGTGGAATATCCTGATGATTGTTCCCACTTAGTTTTGGAGGCCAGAATGGCAGGCATCCCCTGAGTTCCTCCCCTCTGAGCTCAGGGAACCCATTTCAGATCACAGCCCTCCACGCAGCACTCTTGATCTCGACTTTCTTCAAAGCAAGGGGGAAGTGTGCTGGGTTCACTGGAGGCCACGGGAAGGAGGCACAAAACAGATCCAATTCAGCATCCTGTCTTCAGAGACCTCTCATTCCCTTCCTTTACGTGATGCCAAGGGACTTGGGCCCTGTGGTTCCATTTCAGGTGGACCAGCATTTGACCCAAGTTTGCTTTAGCCAAATCCATGAATTAATTGCTAGAGCCAGACCCGTTCCTGGAGCTAGCACAGAGAAGGCTGATCGCTGGTTAGTGCATCCATACTAAGAAAATCAGCCTGGTCCAAACTTACATCTTCCCCCTGCCTGACAAAGCACACGGAAATCCATTTCCACAAGATTCCCCCAATTTCTAATGGTATCAGTTAACAACCTCTACAATTCTGTATGGCTCCAAGATTCTTTTCTACCCAGAGTTTACTCTTCAGCCTCCAGGCCAAACTGGTCCCACTTTCCAGCTGAGCAGCCTGGAGGGGTGGGGCAAGTAGGAAGTTGTGCCCTTTCTTTCTCCTAGAGGACATTGTGAACTGTTGGAACCAGTGTTTTAGAGAGCCTTGGGTCTCTCCTGCGTGCGCTCACTTGGCACTTCTTTATTGACGCCTAACTTTTCAGAAGTGCACAAGGGCTGTGAACTCAACAACCTGCACGCTCAGCTGTGAGCTCTAGTACCTGGAGAACTGAGCCCTATTGTGAGTCATAAGAGATTCTTACACCATGCTCACAGAAATGATTTACATTTCATTTCATGTTAAAAATAATATTTGATCTCGCTTAGTTGACTCTCCATTTATATTATTCTGTGCAGTTAGAAACACTCCATCATACAAGCTGGGCACCCTTCACTTCCTTAAAATTGAACTGTGACCCATGCTACCTCTCCTTGGAAACCAGACCCTGTGGTCAAATGCTAAAGGTCATACAAGAAATCATTGGTTATCATTACATCCCCCAGTCACTGGCTTCCCAGGGTAGAGTAGGAGCAACAACCTCAGTGTTTTGCCCTATGACAGCCCAATAGCTTTGAAAACCCCACATTTCCTGGAAGACATGTTACCTACAACTCAACTCTAGGTCCAGTTTCTGATATCAGGAACATTTGGTTACAAACAACCAAGTGACCGCATTGGATAGATACTGGAGAGGAGTAAAGTATTAGCCAGCCAGGCTTTGAGAAGGTGCGGGTGAGGGCAACACAAAGATGGAGGCAGAAGCCATGAATCATCTCTTGAGGGCAGTGTAATTACCATGGCTGGGTGACAAACACCTTCATTATATGGATCACTCTGCGCGATCTAAAAATTCCTTAAGACTGAGTCTAAATGGCTTGTTTGGATCACATGCCCTCAAATGGCCTGGGGGAGGGATGGGAGGGCCTACCACAGACAGTCTCCCCAGACAGTGCTGGAGAATAGTTCCCTAAGGAAAAGGGGGATATTTTTATTAAAATAAGGGAAAGAGATCCTGAAGTGGCAAAACCAACAAATATCTTTCACAATACCACTGCGTGAGAACGGCAGCCAGGCAGCCAGGTGGCTCCGCTCAGTAACTACAAACCAAGGACAAGAGAGACGGGAAGACAGACCTCTGTGGGAGACAACAAGGCTACCAATAGTCCAATCACACATGGTGCAGCGCCTCTGCCAGAGAACTCCTTCCCAGTCCTGATTTGAAAAATCAATGGTTAGGCCAGGCGCCGTGGCACTCTACAGTTTATAAAGTATTTCCATGTCCATTATTTCATACACTTTGTGTGTACTGAGGATTGAACCCAGGAGCACTCTACCACTGAGCTATATTCCCTGCCTTTTTAAAATTTTGAGATGCCATCTCATTAAGTTACCAAAGCTGGCCTCAAACTTTCGATCCTCCTTCCTGAGCCTCCAGAGTAGCGGGGATTACTAGCATGTGCACTGAGTCTGGCTTCATATACTTCTTACAATAACCCTAGAAGACAACTACAACAATAATAAAATAGTATCATCAGGCTGGGGCTGTAGTGCAGAGGTGAAGTGCTTGCCCCTCACATGTGAGCCACTGGGTTCGATCCTTTTTTTTTTTTATTTAAAGAGAGAGTGAGAGAGGAGAGAGAGAATTTTTAATATTTATTTTTTTTTTTAGTTCTTGGTGGACACAACATCTTTGTTTGTATGTGGTGCTGAGGATTGAACCTGGGCATGCCAGGCCAGCTCGCTACCACTTGAGCCACATCCCCAGCCCATGATTTGTTTTTAATTGGTTCAAACACCTTCAGCCTCCTGATCTTCAACTGCTTTTTTATCACAGATACTGAGCACTGTTTTGCAGGCTGACTGTCCGTTTTGACCCTAAGGACACCACCATTCATGAACCTTCTCCACAACAGGTGGAATGCTCCTGGCCTCTGCTCTGCGCTTACTGTGGTGGCTTCCCCTCACTTGTGCTAGTTAACTGTCACCACTTGGTCTCCAGCTCTTCAGGGCCAGGATTTCTCCTTAGGTATTAATGAGCCTAACTCTAGTATCACCTTTACTACGTTTACCACAAGCCTGCAGAGAACAGCACCCTAAACTTCTTAGCAATGCAGGTCCCTGTCACCAGCTCGTTTCTGAAGACTATGGTAAAAGTGGGGGGCCTGCTGGGTCTCTTACAAAATATGGGTCTGATGCCTTCCCAAAATCTCTGCATTCCACACCCCCACTTCCCTCAGC